GAGGGAGGGATTAGAGGAGGAAGTGACAACGAAAGGGAAAGAAGGAGAAAGGAGGAAGAAATGCAGAAAGAAAGGGAGGAGGGGAGGAAGGGAGGAAAGGAAGGGAAAGGGCGAGAGAGGGAGAGAACGGGAGGGGAAGACGAAGAGCGGGAATGGTTTGAGGGATAGAAAAACCAAGGGAGAGAGGGAAGGAAGGAGGGAGGGAGGGAGGGAAGGAGCGAGGGAGGGAGAAAGCATGGGAGGAAGGAAGGTAGAGGCACGAGGGGAACGATGGTAGAAAGCGGAGGGATCGAAGGAGGGAACGAGGGAGGAACGAGGCAAGTTCACGTCCGAGCTCACTTTAGGATGATATGCCGTACGTCTGCATGTGTAGCTGTGCGATTACGGTCATCGGGGTTGGAAGCATTCCTGGCTGGAAGAGGCGCAGCAGCAGTGTGAGGAGGAGGAGGAGGAGGAGGAGGAAGGCGATGGGGTTTGTTGGCTATGGCATCCTCCCGGGGAGTATTAGCTGTGAGGGAAAAGGAGGAGGAAGGAGGGGAAGAAGAGAAGAGAGAAGAAGGCGAAGTGGAAGTCCTCCTCGGTTCTTTGTGAAAAGTGCAATCAGACTCGCTATCTTTCACACTTCACATGCATGCAAACAGGTTGCGCATCAAACTGGCGACAAGCGCCCACACCAAACACAGAGATATAGTAGCCAAGAATGCAGTTCAGGTACAAATTCACTTCAAATGGCTATGGCGACACAACGACTGTACGACTCTCTGTTCGCACACACAGGATCACCCTGGATATCCCACACGCGATACTCTCTGTAGACACATACACACACACACACGCTACACTCTCTTAACAGATATGGTGGCTATGGCCGCTGCTATCCTATCGCTATGGCTATGCTCCTTCTCGCCCACTTTGTCTTCGGGCTCACTGCAGACCACCTTGCACAAGTCGCTGTGGCAGTGCTTCCGCATGGCTTACGCAGGAATGAATGAATGGTTGGGCGCTACCTCTTGATTTGTACTTCTGTATCTCGTTGGTCTGCCCTTTTCCCATGCCCGTGGTGCACACAGTCCCATGCGGTACTTGCTTGACTGGACTAGGACTGACTGGGACTGGGACTGCTGACTCAGCACGGGTAGACTCCACCACTTGCCCACTTGCCTCAGCCTAAACGTGAGCGACTTCGAAAGGCCAGCACTAGGACCTTCCGGAAGGCCGTGGACTTGGCCTTTCGCTACTGTAGCAGCTACGACCTTGACCTTTCAGGACTGTAGCAGCTACGACCTTGACCTTTCAGAGGAGCTACAGCTTCGACTTCTAAACCTTTCTAAGACTCCTACCCGACAGGTCTACAGATCGAACCCCTACTACCTACTGACCCTACGACAGTCTACCAACTGTTACAAATACACAGATCACGGGTTGAACTCTCGGGGTCGACACAAATACTGTACACAGGTAAGGTGAGGACTAGGGATTGATCCCTGGGATCTGCATCGGCTACTGCAAAAAGGTGAATACTGTTTCACTCCCGCTGGCCTAAATTCGAGGTCCTTCGAGAATAACTCAGTCCAAGGCAGGACCTTTACCTTTCTTCTCTCTCTCGTAGGCTCTAACTATGTCGGGAGCTGTTTCTAGTAATTCTGTCCTTGTAAACCAGAGGTCGTCCTCTGGTTCCTGATAAGCAAACCGGACCTTATATTGTTTCTGTGGACGACCTCTACCTCCTGTTCTAAACACATCTTCACCTACAATGCCGTCAATGTCGTACCTTCCGTCCATGTCCGGAGGGATCATGGACCTTCTAGATGGAAACTGTTGACTTGTCACACACGGCAACAACTTTGATGCATGGAACACCGACTAGGTGTGGAGGTGTGCTGGGATCTCTACTGTGTAGGACGGCCCATCGTCTCCGCCCTTGACTTCTAGAACTGGCCATGGTCCCCTGTACGCTGGCAATAACTTCTGCGAGATGTTTTCCTCAAGTGAAAACTCTTTGGACTTGACCCAGACTAGGTCGCCTACTTGGAACTGCGATGGGTGACGGTGCTTGTTGGCTTGCTCTATCATTCTATGTTGGGCCTTCCTGAGGTTCTCTACGACTGTAGTTAGCTCTTTCTCGTGCTGTATCGCGAACTCCCTGGTACCAGGCGGTCTAAAGGACTTGTGCAACTCGTTGGGAGTGCGACAGGTGGACAAGTGCACACTGTTATTGTACGCACTGGCTACCTTGGGCAACATCTCATCCCAATTGACTTGATCTGGTCTAATGTACATACGCAGAACTTGCTGCAGGATCTTGTTCATCTGCTCAGTCTGACCGTTAGTCTCTGGGTGACGGCCAGATGACATCAACAACTTTGACCCATTGACTCTCATCAGTTCCTGCCAGTTCTGACTCGTGAAGCGAGTATCTCTATCACTAACAATAGACAGTGGGACGCCATGCTCACTAACCCAAAAATAAAAAAAACTTCTGAATTACTAACTCAGTACGTGCCTCTGCAAGCAAAGGAACAAAAACTGCATACTTGCTAAATCTATGAACTATGACCATGACTTGGCTCTTGTCGTGCCTACTCTTGACGCCGACGTCCATAAAGTCAATGGACACAATCTCTTGGCTGATCAGGAATAGGCAAGGGTCTAAGAAGACCTATAGGGGCACGGGTAGTGGTCTTATTTCTTTGGCAAACTTTACAACTGCGGACGTACTCTATGCAGTAGTTCTTCATTCCTGGCCACGTATACGCATGCATCAGGTTGGCTAAAGTCTTTTGCCAACCGAAATATCCCTCTGTGTCATGGCATTCCCCTAGGATCAAACTACGAATCTCCTCGCTGTTGGGAACACACAAACGGTCTAATACGTTAGTCTTCTCGGATAACAACCCCTCTGTAGTGCGGTAATCTGGTTCAGTCTTTGGGGCCTTCTTGACTCTCTCGAGGAGGTCACTATAAATAGGGTCCTGCGCATACGCCTGTCTAACTTTCTCCTGCAGGTCACTCCCTATGTCCAAATAGTGAACTATAGCTCTAAAGTAGTCTGATCTCCTACTTAGAGCATCCGCAACTACATTGTACTTGCCTTTGACAGGCTTGAGCTCTAAGTCGTACCGGTCTATCTCAGCGGCCCACCTAGTCAACTAAGGTGTCATTTTGGCCTGTCTTCAGCCACCTCAGAGTCTCGTGGTCTGAATACACTTTGAAGTGCCTCCCAAGCAGGTAATGCTTCCAGTGGTCTAAGGTCTGCCTGAGAGCGTAGAAATCCCTCTCGTACGTCGAGGTGGCTACTTTTTCTGAGGGCATCCTCGCTGACATGAACTCTACGGGTCTATAACCATCGTCGTCGTCCTGCTGTAACACGACGCCTATACCATACTGACTCGTGTCCGTGGTGACGGCAAATGGGAAAGACGAATCTGCTACTTCGAGGACAGGGTACTCTATCAACGCGCGCTTTAACTTTTTTAGCGCGGACGTACAATCTTTATCCCACTGCCAGATTGCCTCTTTTTTTAGCAACCTGCGAAGGGGAGCGGCGATAGTCGAGAAGTTCCTCACGAACTTCCTATAATAGTTAGCTAGGCCTAGGAACGACCGCAACTCGGTCAATGTGTGGGGCGTCGACCAATCTCTAATCGCCGCTATCTTGCTGTCCTCAGGCTTAATGCCATCTCCGTCTAAAACGTGGCCCAAGTACAAGACTTGTGTCTTGGCCCACTCGCACTTCTTTGCATTGATCTTGAAGTTAGCCTCTCTCAGCTTCTCCAAGACCTGCCTCAAATGACCCTGGTGCTCTTGGAGGGTCCTACTGAACACTAAGATGTCGTCTAAGTAAAATGCGACGAATCTATCTAACCAAGGCCTAAATCACTGAAATGTAGCTGGCGCATTGGTCAGTCCAAAAGGCATCACAATGAATTCATAATGCCCATATCTAGTTCGGAATGCAGTCTTGTACTGGTCATCAGGATGGACCTTTATCTGATGATACCCGAACTTCAAATCGATCTTCGAGAATATCTGCAACCCTACACTCGATCTAAAAGATCATCTATCCTAGGCAGTGTCTCAGCATTCTTTACTGTGATCGCATTCAGACCTCGATAGTCTATACACATACGCAATTCTCCTTCCTTTTTGGGGACAAATAGTATTGGTGCTCCAAAAGGAGATGAACTCGGCCTAATCCAACCTTTCTCAAGGAGCTCAATCAACTGCTTGCGCAACTCTTCTAACTCCCTAGGGGACATCTTGTAAACTGCTCCCTTAGGAGTTCTACTGCCAGGCTCTATCTCTATCCTGTGCTGGATCGGTCGCGACACTACTCCTGACAACGGCTCCGCAAGGTCCTTAAACTCTTCCAGCAGCTTGGCAATAGCTGGGTCTATGGGCTCCTCTTCTTTAGGCTCAGTGACAGGCCTCACATAAGCTACGAAGACCTGCTCCTCTAACTGCTCCTTTTTAACTAATCGCGCGAACGCGGGAGCACTGAGACGCAATGTGCCAAGGAGTTATCTACTCCTGACCTCGCCTGTCGGACTAGGGAGCCTACACTCATGCTCTCTTAGGTGAAGTGTGGCCCCTGCTACCTCTCCCCAGTCCATACCTAGGACTATGTCAAAAGGAAGATCGTCCTTTGCGAAGAGAGTCAGGGAATGGAGAACTTTCTCCACCGTCCCATCTTTCTCTAGGCGGAAATACGCCTGGACTCCCTCTACGTAGTCCTCAACACGCATAGTGCGGTTGTTTGTGAGGGCACTAACTATGGGGTCTTCCAACTTTTGGACTTTCAACCCTAGCCTTAGCTTCTTCAGCGCTCTGCTGCTAATATAACTACGAGTAGCCCCTAAATCTATAAGGGCCCCCACTCTACTTCAAAAAGCCTCCATGTCAACTAACACTAGTTGTCCTTAACTATCTTTCTTCATTTTGGCCCAGGCAGGCATCCTCTCCTTCAACTCCTCTGCCACGCCTGTGAGGGAAGTGCCTAGAGAGACGCTGACACAAGCAATCTCTAGACAGCTAACTAGGCACGGGCCTGCAACCTCTGTCGAAGGCTCATGTGGTGGGAGTTTCCTGTACACGTGCGCTCGCTTCCCCACATGACCTAGTAGTAGGGGCAGTTGCAACCCCTACCGGCGGCTGCCTTTTGACTCCTGGGCAGCCCATCGGGCCTGTCTATATTTAGGACAATATTTAATAATATGGGTCGGGTCACCGCAATATATGCATTGCCCCTGGTCCATACATTGTTGCCAAACTCACAGGTCCAGGCCCAGATCTTCCCAAGGCCGACCTTGTGGCCAACCTGGGTGCCAACCTCCTCTCCTTTGAGGTGATCCTCCACCTCGTCGCTGCGGGGACCGACTGGGACCTTGACGATTTGGCAGGGCACCTTGACACCTACCTCCCTCTTTGCGGCTCCTTTGACCGCCAACCCCCTGTGCGCCCGGTCCTCGACCACCCGTGGCCTGGCCCCTTTGGCCCTGGCCTCCTCCTCTACCTTGCGGCCTCTCTCCAGCCGCGACAGCAGCATAGGTCCTCCCCTGGCCTACACTACTGTCCGCCTCCTCAAGCCCCCACTCGATCTAACTGTAGGGGACTTCGTCTGTACCACCGTCATCTAACGTAAGGATCAGATGATCCTTGGCCCTAACCTGGCTAGAGATGGTACGACCTTTCCACTTTTTACCCTTATCTAAGTCCTTATGCCAGAAAGTGGAAACTGGCATGGACTTGGCCTCAAACAGGACCACTTCTCGACTCAACGCATCGTACGTGATGTTGGCCTGTTGGGTCTTGTCAAAGAAATGCCCCCGCAAGGGCTCTGGCATGGCACGATAAAATAGTTGGACAAACTGGGTCTCGGTGACCCCGTGGTCTGGGACGGCTACCAAGTCGTCCATGACAGCTTTGAGTGCTCGCGCACTCCTCTCCTGTCGCGAGTGGATGGTTTGGAGCTTGTCAGAGGCCCTGACGCCTCTTGTGACGTCAGCGAACCTCTCTCGCAGGAGCTTGAGAAAAGTGGAAAGAGGGGTGAGCTTCGAGTAAGCAACCATATTGTTTTCACAATCGGCTGAGCGCGCGAGGGACCTGGCAAAGCTAGCCGCTTCGTCTTTCAATGCATGGAAGGCTACGAGGACTTGTTCCTCTGGGGCAATATGCTCTAAATAGACATATGTATTAATGCTAGCCTCCCAATTATCGAAACTATCATCCTTTTTCCCGCTGTATGAATCAGGGAATTTGAGCTTGACGGGCTCTTTACGGGGACGCGACTCGGCCTCTGCTGTGGCCACTACTTTGGCGCCTTCAATGGCGCCGGCACAGAACTTCTTTGTGCCTTCCTTCAACTTTTTGACTTCGGTCCCGACGTGGGTTACCACGTCGCGCACAAACTCTCTGAAACCTGACCGGATGGCATGAAGGGTCACATCTTGACCCTTATTGGCCTGATGCTCCTCAAGCCAGGCCTTGCTAAGAACCTCAAGGTACCCTAGAATCTTGTCTAACTTCGCGGGGGTCTCTGCTTGTGCCTGCACCTCTTGTCTGCATGCCCGGACTTTCTCCACCTCTCTAGCCATCCGGTTGGCTTCCTCCCTCCTTCTCTTCTTCTCCCTGGCCAGCCACAACTTCCATTCCGATCTCTTTTCATCTTCTGCTGTATGGCGGTCCAGGGGGTCCTCCATCGCTTCCAACTCCCTAGCGAATGCTTCTCTCTCCTCCTGAGGAACGTACAACAGTGCCTCCTCATCCTCTCCCAGGGATAAATTAGCTACCCACTCGCTAATTTTTTTCTCCATCCACGCATCCTCTCCCTTTGTGCTACTGCTTTCCCCTCGTTCTTCCCTGTGCCTCCTTTCGAGGGGTTCTTCTTCTACTTCTTCCTCTGCTGCTGCTTCTTCTTCAGCATCCCTTCTTTTCTCTTCCTCCTCCTTCTGTAATCTCATCATCTATTTTTCCAACTTCTTCCTCTTCGTCGCCTGCTCCTCTGCGATCGCCTTTAACTTCGCCTGTTCGAGGAGCTCCTTCTCCTTCATCTCCTTTCTCTCTTTCAGAATGGCGGCGGCACGCTCCTCTTGGGCCTGGGTGTAAGGGGTAGTGCTCTTCCCTCCACGGGTGTCAACCATGGTGTTAGGTGTACAACTAGACAACGGTTCCACTCCTCACCACATAGACTCTACCCCCTGACTGACAAAACCTACTGACTCGATCTAAGGACTTAAAGAATCCGGACAGGATCCTGTCAACTAGGGTCTCTAGCCTAGACCTACTCTTAAGGCTGTCACTACAGGACTTGTTGCTGATCAGGAGGCATTTAAGGAGATCCCCCCTAACTCCTCAGGAATTCTTTAACGTCGCAGGCAGGACGACGCGATCAGCAGGGCCACGGGTGTCAACCATGGTGTTAGGTGTACAACCAGACAACGGTTCCACTCCTCACCACATAGACTCTACCCCCGGACTGACAATACCTACTGACTTGATCTAAGGACTTACAGAATTCGGACAGGACCCTGTCAACTAGGGTCTCTAGCCTAGACCTACTCTTAAGGCTGTCACTACAGGACTTGTTGCTGATCAGGAGGCATTTAAGGAGATCCCCCGTAACTCCTCAGGAATTCTTTAATGTCGCAGACAGGACGACGCGATCAACAGGTCCTCTCAAGACTTAGACGGCCTGTTGTGCAGCCCACAACTCGGATTTTGGGCCTACCGTGCCACACCGAGCCGCCTGCCGGTCAGTACCGGACCTTGGAAGGGTTCGTGTCCTCAGGGACATGCGAGTCGTCAGACACAGTCTTTAGCCCTACTCAGCCCGTGTGTGTTTGGTCAACAAGGCCCTATCCTTCATCCACAGAGTTCTATCACCTGGACAAAAGAGACTCAATGCAGAAAGAAGAGACAGACAAACTTGACTCAGCAAGTACCACAGGGTGTGTGCACATCCATAGGGCGAGGGGATAGGCTGAAGGCTTGGCGAGATTATACCAGCTCCAACTTGGTCAAAATTTTGTGGTCAACAGTCTTGGTCAACGCCTTGGTCAACGCTTGGTCAACGCTGCAGTCAACCCCCGATCAACCGCCGGTCAACTCCAGTCAACCCCCGGTCAACTCCAGTCAACGCCCCGTCATACCCGATCAACTCTTTCCGGTCAGCTATGGCTGCCGTCTTCTCCTTCCTCACCACCCTTCTCCTTCCTTTCTCCTTCCTCGCCTCTTTCTCCTTC